CGTGTGTGCGTTGGCATGGAGCGCAATACGTGCTCTATTCCGATGCCTACTTGGCGTTTCCCGCTATCGTATAAGTAGCCCATCCTTCGCTGCCCCCGCCAATCCTCCGAATTAGACGACCCCGCTTTTCCGCTGGCGCATTTACCCGGGCCCACGTTTGCTGTGTTGAGCGTGTGTTTGCATGACCTACAGACCTCATGTTCCTCGTGGAGCTTGACATCTGTGGGTCCTACAGACGATTGCCCTGTGGGCATATATGGGAGCTTTTGATATGCTGAGATGCATGTGACACACGCGCTGTGAACAGCCCAGGTTAGCTCCCTGTCGCTTCAATAATACCCTCTTTATGTTTATTGATAGTAATTTTGTTATATGCAGGAGGTATCAACGATGGGCAGCGTTGTTGTCGTGGAAAGCTTTCGTGGCTTACGACTCCCCAAATCCCCTACTCCAACGGCCGCCACTATCCAAGCAACTTCCAAGGACTTTGCGAAGAGAGGTACGTGTTCATCCACGCCTTGCGGCCCTTTTCACGTCCTAAGTTTTTCTCTCCCATGCTAGAAGTTGCCCGGTGCGAAGAGGCCCTGAAGAGCCACAACACAGAAAGGGTTCATGCAGTAAGCACGCCTTAGCAGCTTATCTGTAGATTGATCCTAGCTGTCAAGTTCGCAGATGAAGCCAGCTCCGAGCCTCTCCGAGCCACTTCTGTCTCCGAGAACCTCCTCCGTTCGTGGGAAAGATGCCCTCAGATCTCATCACGTGATTTAACAAATGCCTTTTACGGCTCGATCCCGTCGTCGGGCGCTGGGCCGACAAGGTTCGGCTTTGCTTGGCTGCTTGTCGCGCCTACTGTTCTTCAGGGCTCGATGTCGGTCTCTGTGCATAATTTGCCGGCTATGGAAACATATAAAAGCACGGCGAGTCTGCGCTGCCTGCTCTTCTTTCAGTCATATCTGCCGCGCGGGCAGGCAGCCTTGTTAACCCCCTTCCATACCCTCCGCTTCTTCTTCCCCCACGACTTCCTATCCTCCATTTACGATGACCGAATCCTCGAGTCGCGCGTCGAGCACCGTCGCTCACGACGCGGCGCTGGATCACCCCCACACGGAGAGCTCTAACGACATCTTGGACCCCGCCAAGGTCCACCACGACCCAAACCGCCCCGATCTCTCATTTCCATTTCAGACGACAAACATCGAGGAAGGTGGCTTCACCGAGGAGTATCGTATCGTCACCAAGGCGGGATACATCCCCGGTGACCTCGCACTTAGACCAATTCCATCGCATCATTCCGAAAAGCCGGCTGCACTACGGGACCCTGAGAAGACGCGGGCACTCAGCGACAAGAAGCTGGTGACATTTATCCCCGATGATCCTGAGGACCCACGTAACAAACCCAACTGGTTCAAGTGGTGTAAGTACTGCCTCGCGCTCGTCGTACTTTGGACTTGGTGCTGATTGTTCTCCGTAGACATCACCGCCGTCTGTGCTTTCTCCGTCGTCGAAGTCGCGTTTGCGTCTGCGGTTGTAACAGGTGACTTTGATGGTCTAATGGAGGAGTTCCATAAGGGCGACGTCGTGGTGGCCCTCAGTGTGACGCTGATGGTGTGCGGCTTCGGTATCGGACCGCTATTCTGGTCGCCATTGGTGAGTAGCCTCTATCTACTATGCATGTGCAACGTGCTGACTCAGCCCACAGAGCGAACTCTTGGGTCGTCGACTACTATGGGTGATACCATCCCTCATATACGTCATCTTCATCATCCCCTGCGCCGTCGCCAAGAATATCCAGACGCTGCTCATCTGCCGATTCTTCTGCGGCATCTTCGCGTCTGCACCCCTCACTCTCGCTGGCGGCACTATATCTGATGTTTGGGACAACGAAGAACGTGGCTTCGCCATCGCCCTTTTCGCCGCTGCGCCATACGGCGGACCCGTGCTTGGCCCTATCGTTGGCGGCTTTGTTGGCGAGACTCTCGGCTGGCGGTGGATCTTCTGGGTGCAGATGATATTTGCCGGCTTCATGGCGATCCTTAAATGCACCCTCCCTGAGACATACGCTCCGGTCATCCTCAAGCGGCGTGCCGCGAGGCTAAGAAAAGAGACAGGCGACGGGAACTTTGCTACCGAGCAGGAGCTGTTCATGGTCCCCTTGTCGCGGATGCTCGTCGACACGCTCGTCCGTCCCTTCGTTATGCTCGCCACCGAGCCCATCCTGCTCTTGCTGTCGCTTTATATTGCTCTTATCTACGGGTTGCTGGTGAGTTTTTCTGCCGTTGATCTAGCACGACGCGATACTGACTGAGTTCTTAGTACGCATTCTTCTTCAGTTACCCAGTAGTCTTCGGCGAAGACTATGGCTGGAACGACGGCCTCGTCGGCCTGACGTTCATCTCCGTCTGGATTGGCCTTGCGGGCGCGCTCATCGTTACGCCTCAGCTCGAGAAGAACTACCGCGCACGGATGATCGCGAAGGGCGGCAAGGCCGACCCCGAGGACCGCCTGGTGGGCATGATGCTCGGCTCGGTGTGGGTGCCGATCTCGCTCTTCATCTTCGGCTGGACCTCGCCGCCGTTCGTGCAGCCCGGTGGCGGGAGCTGGGTCGGGCCTGTCGCGTCGGGCATCCCGTTCGGCTTCGGCATGGTCACGATCTACTTCGGCGCGAACGCGTACATCATCGACGCCTTCCCGGGCTACGTCGCGAGCGCGCTCGCGGCCAAGACCGTCATCCGCTCCGGCTCGGGCGCCGCGATGCCGCTGTTCATCACCGCGATGTATCACAACCTCGGTAATGGCTGGGCCGCGAGCACCTGGGCGTTCATCTCGCTCGGCATGATCCCCATCCCGTTCCTCTTCTACCGCTACGGCAAGTACATCCGTTCCAAGTCAAGACGTGCCGCCGCATAGAGCATAGACGTCTTTACGTTTTCCCTGGGACTGTTTTCGTTTGATTTTTTTTCTTCCATCGTACACCAATCACATACCCTATCCCCCAATGCACGCACTCTTGACGAGCTCACGAAAAAAGATCGTACCACTCGTCTTTTACCTCGATAGAATACTACTGGACGTGTTATTGTTATTATGCTATGTTGCATTGTTGTTATCGATCGTCGTTCATACGCATGTCCGCCTGTTCTGTGTTACGCTTGATAGAAAAGCCAACGGCTTACCTCGAAAACCTGTGCGCAAAGTTCGATTGACGGGTATGATGGATGCAGAGAGAGCCACCATGAAGCAGCAGTCAACTAACCCAGCATAATGGTAGACTCTTTCTACCATCATGCTGGTGTAGCTGAACGACGCGAGGGGAGCGTGAAGAGTGCGCTTCAGCATACAGACAGCGTGCGCTCGCGCCGCCGGGTTCAAAGAAGCTGTCGAGGCGAGCTATGACTAGGCTGGGACTCAACGAGACAGCCTGCTCGTCTCTTTTATACGCTGCACAAGCACCCTGGACTGACTATTGCACTCGGCGCCCAGACCGCAACAGTCGCCGACTGACAGCAATTGGCGATGCGACGTGATGCGGGAAGGCGAAGCTTGAGCTTGAGTTTTGCGCATCAGACGACAAAACTCCGTCAGCAGCAGGCAGGAGCCTTGCTATGGCATTGAACCTTGTAATCTACGGTGAAGCACCATTACATACGCCGACAGCCGCATCCGCCGGCACCGCGAAGCTGCGCTCTTCTGCTGCGCTCATCATGCTTCACCTTCTTTCTGGCTCTCACCGTTCCACGTCCTCGAGTGCTAAGATTGGCAACAACAGCCCCTCCAGAGCCGGATACGCCCACTCCTCTTCGAAGCGTACGTTATCCACAGCCCCTTCTATCCCCTCTCCCACGGTTCTCCCGTACGTCGTACGACACCGGAAATAAGCGAGATACAGGTGCCGGCGCACACTCAGCGTTCGCCGCGCGCAGGCGGGGGCGCGACGTCCTCGATGACGTCGACGTCGAGGAGCCCGCGCCGGACGAGCGGCGCGAGGCGCGTCGCGACGAGGTCGTGCACGGTGTCGAGCGCCTCGGGGAGCACGTGCTGGCCGCGGCGCGGGCGGACGGCGACGGCGGCGGCGGCGAGGCGCGGGAAGCGCTCGAGCGCGCGCAGGAGCGCGGCCCAGTCGACGCCGTCGGCAAGGTGTGCGCGGAGCGCGCCGGGGTACCCGCTGATGTGGAGCACGAGGCGCAGGGCGCGAAGCGTCGGGTGCAGGTGCGCGAGCAGCGGCGCGACGGAGCAGAGGCACCACTGGCCCTCGTACGTGAAGAGGTCGCCGGTGAGGTGCGCGCCGCTGCTCCAGACGTGCAGCTCGAGAGAGCGCAGGGCGGTCAGCGAGGGCAGGTTGAAGACGTGCCAGGGGCCTGGGGCGTCTGCGAGTGCGATCCAGGGTAAGCGAGAGGATTGGAAGGGGGGAGGGACGCGACTCACTGAAGGCGCGGAGGACGTTCATCTCCGACAGGTCGAGCACGAGCTCTTCGAGCCTCGGCCCGACGGTACGCAGAAGGTTGCCAAACACGTTCGATTCTTCGTCATTCCGAACGGCAAAACTCAGCTTGCGGAGATGCTTCGCCAATTCGGCGTGCACGTCCTCGAGCACGGGCGCCGGCAGGATGCGCGCGTAGTTTGAGTGCACCTCGAGCTCCTTTAGGCGTAATGAGGGTGGAAAGACAGGTCGGGCGAGACTCTGCACGTTCAGCTCGAGCGTCATGCCCAGCACACGCAGCGTATGGAGCGGCGAGAACGTGAAGAGAAGCTCGAAGATGTCGTTTACCCAGAAGGTGCGTTGGGAGAGGAGCTCCTCAGTCACCACGCGCGAAAGCGAGAGCGTGTGAAGGGCACGAGATGGCGGGGGCCAGGCCTCAACAGTGCGCCCGTCCGCGCCTGTAATGAGAGTACGGTCCCAGGAGACGTTGTCGAGTGAGATGGTGCGGAGAAAGGGCAAGGCTGTGAGCGCCGATGCGAGGATGTACGGCCCCACGCAGCGGATCGCTGGAGCGCGAGCAGCGAGCCCACCGTGAATACGAAAGGTAAGTTCGCGGACACAGTCGCAGATGTGTGGCGCGCTGTTGAGAAATGTGATGAAGTCTGCGAAACCCTTTCCAGGGAGCTCGCCGTGAACTCGAAGGGCGTAGAAAAGATGGTAACGACTCGATCTGAGCCATGCACTGGAAACCAAAGCGCAGTTGAGGAGCGAATGCTTGTCGTCGTGGAGGTGGTCGATGATGGCGTCCGTAAGCTCGGCCGGAAGCTCTGGCAGGGTGATATTGTGAACTGCCAGGGCTGACATGGCGTCGGTAGCGGGAAAAGAGGCGTCCGTGCCGAACAATTCGCTGCGAAAAGAAAAAAAAAAGAGTCGCAAAACGTAGCTTGATCTACCGAGCTACACCGAGGCTATGTGTCGCCAAAAGGTCACAGAGCGTGATGGCTACCTATTTTCCAGCACGCGATCGATAGCGAATCTGCGATTGTTTCAGCGATATCCTGTGCTCAGCTTCCGCGCCCAGAGAATATCGATTTGGCCACATACCTCCTCCCGAGAGGATGGCTCGCGATAGCGCAGAGTTCCGGCCGCCACGCGCCGTAGGGTAGGTAGTCGTGAGGTTGAACAGGTGGGCCGCCTGATGATGGGGGCCTTTTAAAGCAACTGTGCAGCCAGCGTCAGTACGAGAACACTATAGTCAAAGAGGAACAGCGGGTCGGCAGCATTTGCCGAGGTTTCATAGGGCGTACCTCCGTACCCGAGGCTCTTTGACAGGCGGACGTCGATGGACTAGTACTTCTCGAGCACAGGGTTGATCCCGGAGGACGCATCATTTCAGAGCTACACGACAACGTCGGCGTTGAACGCCATATCAGCCGAGGAAAATGGCTGCAGATCTGGTTTTTGAGGCAGTTCAGCAAGCCACATTGATGTCGATTGTCCTTGCTGTATGAGAGTTTCCGGCGGAGGGTGGCGTTCCGAGACAACAAGCTTAGTACTTTCGCGGAGTTGGCCAACGAAAGTGAAACGCGATCAAGGCTCGGCGTTGCCATTGAGACAACTTTGCCTCGCGACAAATTGCACACAAACTGTTCGGCTTGCCCTAGCTTACCCGACATGGGCGGTAGGCAGGGTCTTGTGGCACTTGGCGCATCAAGCCGCTGTGATGGGTTGCTTTATTCGGAACCCTAGAGCCCTAACCCTAGCTTGGGTTTAAATAGACCGCGACCGAGGCGACTCGCACACTCTCACCGCTGTAGCTCGTGCTCACCAGGTCGTTTCTCACCAGATGCATCTGAAACCGTTATCGATGGCTGCAGGAACTGCTTCCCGAAAAGCCCCTGCGTTCTTGTCTCTTGCAACCACCGTCCACTCGGCGACATGACTCTCGACATTGCCCAAGTGCACGACAGCTTTCCTGCCTTGAAGTCAGGGTACATCTTTGCGGACAACGCGGGAGGCTCGCAATGTTTGGCTGATGTCGTCGCTCGTATCTCGGACTACCTCCTTAACACGAACGTCCAACTCGGCGCAGACTACTCCGTCTCTGTCAAGAGCACCCAACGAGTCGCGGACGGCGTCGAGGCGGTCAGGGAGCTCTTTAACGCGGAGAGTGCAGAAGAGGTGGCGATGGGCAGCAGCTCAACTATGCTGGCTGAGAACCTGGCGAGAGCAATTGAAGGAGATTTTTTAGATGGCGACGAGATCATCATCACGGGAGAGCATGAAGGTATGCACTGTTGGTTCACATGCGTTCACACTTTACACCATGGTCAATCTCTCCCAGCCGCTATCGTGTGATCGCTATTGCTACAGCTTGGCGCATTGGTCTGCTCTGCTCTGATGTTCGGGCTCAAAGGCTTGAACTTCCACCAGACAAAGTCTCTGCCTCCTGTCGAGCGAGATTCGTGTATCTGCTTCGTCTTCTTGGTCCTCGTTGCCATGATAAATGCTACTTGGCTACGCACTTCTCGATGAGAGCTTGCAGGGGGCCTTGCCAGCCTGCTTGGTTTTACCATCCTCAGGGAGCTAACAATCCCAATCTCATGTAGCGAATGGCGGCCCATGGAAGAAGCTCGCATCTCGCCGAGGCCTGACTGTCAAGGTCTGGAAGCACACCCAATGCCCCGAGTCGCCCAACAACCCCTACGCCGTCTCCCTCAAAATCGACACGCTCCTCCCCCTCATCACGCCCAAGACGCGCCTGATCACCTTCACGGGCTGCTCGAACATCCTCGGCACGATCGTCCCCATCAAAGAGTTTACCGCCGCAGCGCGTGCACGT